CCAGTGCTCTGTCACCCTTAGAGTAAAGAAGTTTTTCCTCATCTTCAACTGAAACCTCTTATGTTTCAGTTTGCACCCATTGCCCCTAGTCCTGTCGCTGGACACCACTGCAAACAGACTGCTTCCATCCTCATGACTTCCGCCCTTAAGATATTTGTATGTGTTGATAAGGTCCCCTCTCAGTCTTCTCTTCTTCAGGCTGAACAAGCCCAACTCTCTCAGCCTTTCCTCGTAGGGGAGGTGCTCCAATCCCTTTATCATCCTAGTTGCCCTCCTCTGGACTCTTTCTAGGAGTTCCTCATCTTTCTTGAACTGGGGAGCCCAGAACTGGACACAGTACTCCAGGTGGGGTCTCACCAGGGCAGAGTAGAGGGGGAGGATAACCTCCCTCGACCTGCTGGCCACACTCCTCTTAATGCACCCCAGGATACCATTGGCCTTCTTGGCAACAAGGGCACATTGCTGGCTCATGGTCAGCTTGTCGTCTACCAGGACTCCCAGGTCCCTCTCAGCAGAGCTGGTTTCCAGCAGGAAAGGATGGATGGCAAGGGAACAGAATTCAACCACAATAGTCTTGTCAACGTTACAACAAGGTAACTTCAGCTTTTGCCATTCTTTTAAATGTAGTAAACTGCATTTTCCCTTCTGTTTCAGGATGGAAGTGGTTCGTGGACAAGTCAAAACTTTTTCAGTGTTCAACTCCAATATGCAATTTTATTGATTCAGTAGATTTATACCAACATAAACAATTTTGGCTGGATCTTTCTGCTTTGGAGAAAGGATGAGGATAGGGAATGAGAAGAAGTTCCCGCTGGAGAAACAAATCAGAGAGGAAGCTCAGAAACTGGACCTGAGCCATATGTTAACAAGTAATGATATTATCCCACTTATTATTTCAATGCAGCCTCACAAAAATGATGGAGGAATTTTCTTTGACTGGCAACATCTCACAGCCCAACATTGCAATCCAGTCTGCTCCACTGAAATTAAGCTCCGCTATGATCTGGTTTTCAGCACAGAGAGGTAAATCTCTGTGTGTTATTTGGTTTACCTGGACAAGGCAGTATGTATCATCAATCCTAATGCATGGACTGCTAATTTTTGCAGATATGGCACTGAGATATTATCAGTCAACAAAACTAGAAAATGTCCCTGAGCTTATTGGTGACCTCAGTACTGAAGTTCAAATACTGTTCAACATTATAAATAACAGTAAGTTCTTTGTCCTACTGAAAACTGCGTCTGGCAAAATTCTGAAAGAATATTCACTAAAAATCTCCTTTGGAAAAAAACCCCTTAGCCAATATAAACAATTCCATTTTGTTTTTTATGCATGCTGATGCCATACGCTGGTACAAGAAATGCACATGTCAGATGAGCTGGATAATCTTATTTATAGATTAATGCACATGTACACGTAATGGCCAGAACACTTTTTTTATTTGGGACTTCTTTATTTGTTTTGTTTTCTAAAATTGAGAATGTAATGAATCTTTCATCATACCTCTACAGACATCAAGATCAAGAGCTAGTACACACATACCTTTCCTGAAATCCGGACACATCAACCATTTCAACTAAAATTACTACTACTGCCAGGTGTTAGCCAGGACATACATATCCTCACACCTACATATTGGGATAGTCTTTAATGGCATAGTCACACTTTTTTTTCCAGATGTCCATTACTTAATGCTCTGCAGCGCTTGGAGGATAAATTGGTGTTGCTCAGGAGAAAAAAAAAAAAGCTCATAGCTCCTCTGCTTCATTTGCTGCAGAAGCTGGCGGGTGTGGGAGAGCTGAGCTTTGAACATGTGCATTTCTATGACATGCTAAAAATCACGAGTTTCAGACTGGGCACCTGAAACCAGCAGACTTATCAGTGACAGTAACACAGAGACATCACAGCACAAGACTATAATGAAGGTGAAGTTTGTGGAGCGCTTAGACATCATAATGCTGAACATGGTTCTTATACAAGCCCATGGGGAAATGAATAATTCAGTCCTTTTACTAGGGTTAGAAAAGACTCAAAAAGATAAATCAGGTATCCCCACACCCCCAGCAATGACAATAAAAACCTCACTGAATAGCTCATTGACTGGTCACTGTCCTTTCTGTTCACCGTTTCAGACAACAATCCTGCAGAAAAACAGCGTGATCATGTAATTAAAGCCTTTATCATAATGCCTGTATATCATAACACTTCTCTCAAGAGAGCTAGATCAAATGCACAGCTTGTCTTAACAAAAAACCAGATTTCTTCAGTATTAAATGCAGAATTGCGGCTTTTGTAGATATAAAGTTACATTAGCCTCTCTTGATGATCATCAGAGAGAGATCAAATCAGTCTCTCTTGATTTTAAATAAAAATTATAAGATCAAGAACAAAATCCATTATACAAACCAAGATTTTTGCCTCCTCACTTAAGCAACAATTAAGACCAGTGATTTAAGTCACTTGGATGAAATCTGTCTAATTTGGTAGAAGAATGCAAAAGAAACAGAGTCCAAAAGTTGGATCTGAAGGGAAAACTCCAGCCAACCTCTTTTAACCTCTGACTTACTACTAACTGTAAATGTCCCTGGTATTACTATTTCTTATTTAGTGTTATTAAAAGCCTGGCCATTTGGAGTATGTGTATATATTGGGATTTATAGAATCATAGAATCGTCTAGGTTGGAAAAGACCTTTAAGATCATCAAGTCCAACCGTTAACCTAGCCCTGCCATCCCAATTTAGGATATTACGCATTTAGGTTATTATTTTCCACATTACCAGTATTCTTCCCCAGAAATGACATTAAGAGAAGGGTAATAATTATTTTCACACTCCACCTCAACAAAAATTGAAGATGACTCTTTTGAGGTTCAAAGGAAGAGCAGCTCTTCTCTACTTCTTAAATGGATTCTAAATAAAGTTGTCCCTGCTCATTGCAGAGGGGTTGGACCAGATGACCTCTGAAGGTCCCTTCCAACCCAAAGCATTCTATGATCCTATGATAAATATCTAAAAAAACCCTGCTGTAAATCCTGGATATGTGAAACAGCATAGCATAGGCTTCTTTAGAGGCACCAGCTCCTCTGATATCTGCTATCCATACCTACTTTTCTGTTTGCCTCGTGAAAGTTCACCAGACAATGGAAGAGTTGGCTTTGCCCTGTATCAAAATGACAAACTCTTCCAGTCAAGGATTTATCAGAGTCGCGGTAGTTTCTCTAAACAAATAATCTCTGGCAACATTGATAGTGGAAGAACCAGCAGTGTTGAAATAGCCTTCAGTCCCAAGGCAAGCCTCCATAAGAAATGCCATGTTCAGTTTGAACCCAAGGCTGTCCTTGCCCTACTACCTGTCTTCAGGACTTAGGAAAAGAGAATCAAAGCAGAGGAGTTGTTTGGGTTATTTTGGCATACTGCTTTGATTTCTGGCAATAAGCAGTTGAAATAGTTTGTGGGATGTATAGATGACATAAGTGAAGGGTATTTAGATAATGTGGCATAGAAAACATTTTTCAACTTTTGTATTTAACAGCTGATGTACTGACTGATGTTACTGAAAGTAGGATGTTTGCAAGCAAAACTGTATTCCATAAAAAGTTATAGGTATACCAGAGTGGATTTGTCCTAGGGTAAATTAGTCCCAAATCAAGAATGAAAAAAGCCAGGTCCCCAGAGGACATTTTTTCTTTCCATTAGACTATCAAAATTTTTGAAAACAAGAAAAAGTCAGCATGACTGGCATAGACCAATACACCTACCAGTGTGGGGAGTGTTCATTTTTCATACTATCTTTTAACTTCTGCTTCCAGTTAAAATCATGTTGTGTTTTCTTTTGACTTCCTCCCCCAGGAACTGATTCCAGATGTTACTGCTTTCTTGCAGGAATTGCTCTATGTGAGTGCCCATTTGCCCAAATGACTGAATTTTTAGATAACATGTACTCATGTTTAGCATGGTTTCTCCAGAAAACAGTAGCTGGCTGCTTCTTACAATATTTAACACAGGTTTTAAGCTCAAATACCTACATATGATAGATCAGTAATCATCCTCATGGGTCCATACACTCAAGTGACCTAGAAAATGCGTCATTTCTAAGGAAATTGCTGAAACTATCTTACAATTGATTTTTTTACTCCTACTTTCATTCCTCATCTTGAATTTAACTACCTAGTACTGTGCATAGTTGCTTTCACTAATTCTTTTGCACTTCAAGCTGCTTGTTGCTTATTAAAAAGCAGTTCTAATTGCAGTACCCTGCAGAAGCATGTTGTCTGAAAATGACTGCATGCAGTCTGCATATGCATATGACTGCCCGAGCGCTGCCGTGCTGCAGGAGGGGAGGGGAGGAGATGGTTCACCACATTTATCACTGTTTGCTTCCTATTACAGTGTGGATTCAGCTCCAGTTGGCAGTAATTTAATGCTACTAATATCTGAAAGCTGTTTTTTGGCTTATGCAGAATTCATTTGGCAGTTGTTTAATGCTTAGTCAATGTGCATCTGAACCATAATTACCTGAACAATGCACAGAAATGGGTAATTTCATTGGCAATCTTGACTGGGAAAGGCACACAAAGTAAATTCAAAATGCCAAATTGTGCTGTTATTGATAGCGTTCATTAGGTTTACTGGAAACTCCATAAATCCCTTAGTAGCTGTCAGTTCCCCTTTCAGAGGATAATTGTCAGTACAGGCCATTTGATGGTGCATATCTATTTATGTTTCTGTAGCCACTTGTTCTCCTTGCAATCCCAATCCACAGTTCAACACACCCGAACTGCAGCTGCGTGATCATGCCTGTGTCTTTTGGGACTATACTGTCAACAACTGGAGCACCGCCGGCTATGCAAAAGGAAGAGCCCTGTTCTTGACATGCAGGTGTAATCACACCAATAATTGCACTGTCCTGATGGTAGGGCCTTGTCCATTCTTGAATGGGAAGAGATTGGGCGTTTTTTCACTTGTTTGGTTGTTTTCAACTGTAAGACAAGCATGCCAATGTAAGGGAGTAGGCATGCTGAGCTAGAAGGCACAGGAATTTAGGATGTCCCCATGGACTTGTTTCCGACCTGTGGCAGAGTTGGCAGATTGGGACATGCGAGTTGTCCCCAGGCTGCTGGAAATCCAAACATATTGGCAAGTCCTGGCTTCCTCTGACACAAATTGTGGCTGCACCCAGCTGCCTCTGCAACCCAGCAGCAGGGAAGAGCTGGCGTAATTCATTCCCCTTGCTCAGCTCTGGGAGCCTCCAGCTCTGCACCTCCATTGCTGCAGCTGGATGTCAAATGGGTGCATGCCTAAACCCTAAAGTGCCCCAAGACGAGCAGGAAAGTAGCTTGGGAGCGGTCTTAGCTGTGGCACTGCCTTCTGTTGGGTAAATAAAGTACTTAGCAGTAACTACTCCCTTTGCTTATATGTTTATAAAAAGCAATCACTCTGTAAATATTAAGCCTTCTACCATGAAGTTTTATATACTGCCCTCTTGTACTAGCAAGACTATTTAGGAATGACTGGCTGTCTCTGTTATTTGTTATTCTTTCAGTATTTGTTTCAGCTTCTCTAAACAAAACAGTCCCTGGGTAAAATCGCTTATCTGCAGTCATTGACTTCGGGAGTGCCAGGATTTCAGGGTTCCTTTTTGTTCTGTCTTCCTACAACGGCATTTCCATATTTGTAATGGAAATGGCCTTATTGCACAAAATGACTATATTCTAAGAGAAGTTTCCCATCTGTTTATGCAAAGACAACAGCATTTTCTGCTTCACTGAATGCATTTACATTTACTCACTGCTTTTTTGTCACTATACAAAGAAAGACAGGTTTTGATTTGTAAATTCTTTATAACATCTTACCTTAGACCTTATAGAATCATAGAATAGAATCACAGAATCATTTAGGTTGGAAAAGACCTAAATTTAAGATCATTGAGTCCACCCATTAACCTAACACTACCAAGTCCACCACTAAATCATGTTCCTAAGCACAATGTCTACACGTCTTTTAAATAGCTCCAGGGACAGGGACTCCACCACTTCCTTGAGCAGCCTGTTCCAGTGTTTGACAACCCTTCTTGTGAAGGAATTTTTCCTAATATCCAACCTAAATCTCCCCTGAGAGTCTGCTTCCTCTCATATCCTATTGCTTGTTACTTGGGAGAAGAGACCAACACCCACCTCGCTACAGCCTCCCTTTAGGCAGTTGTAGAGGGCAACAAAGTCTCCCCTCAGCCTCCTCTTCTCCAGGCTGAACAATCCCAGTTCCCTCAGTTGCTCCTCATAGGACTTGTGCTCCAGATTCTTCACCAGCTTCACTGCCCTTCTCTGGACATGCTCCAGCACCTCAATGTCCTTCTTGTAGTGAGGGGCCCAAAACTGAACACAGTAGTCAAGGTGCGGCCTCACCAGTGCTGAGCCCAGGCGGACAATCACTTCCCTGCTTCTGCTGGCCACACTATTCCTGATAAAAGCCAGGATGCCATTGGCCCTCTTGGCCACCTGGGCACACTGCTGGCTCATATTCAGCTGGCTGTTGACCAAAAATCCTCAGAAGTAAAAATTCAGAATGCACATCAGTGCAAAAAGTTGAAGCTACTCTCTCCAGTCTGTGTCACCTTGCATTTTGCTATGAATAATTTAATGTGTTATTTTGCTATAAATAGTTGATTGACAATGTTAAGTCTCTTCTTGGGAGTTCTTCACAAGTTTCTCTAATTTTGAGGTCCAGAATAATTTTGTGTGAGCTGAAAATTTTGGCAATGACTAGCAAGAGTCATAACTTTAGAAACACAAATTTTAGAAAGGAAATTATCTCTTCTTATCTTATAACTGATACAATTTTTTTCTAGGCCTTTCAGATAAAATACAAATATGTGAAGCCTTTGGAGTATATTATACTGGAGTTGGATTGTCCATTGCTGGTCTGGTCACTACCATTTTGTTGCAAATATTCACTAGGTAAGAGCGAAGATGTAAAACTGCAAGTATTTTACACTAAGTTACAATATTTTGCTCTGGTTATAGTTTAAGTATGACAAAGATAGTACCCAGTTTAGAACATATTGCATTATTATTGATCAGCAAATAATATTAAAAGAGTTAATCACATAGCATAGCTTGGGAAGTAAGTGTGGCTTATTGGTTCAAGTAAAGACACAAGATGTCTCTGCCATGCCACTCACCTAGATGAAACTTTAACCTTTCTGTTAATGTTAATCTTTTAATGTGAGGACATCTCTATGTATGCTTACTATTCAATAAATTCACCTTCAAAAACGTCAGATTTGAAAAGTAATGATATAAGTCTGGTAAAAGGCCAAGCCTTTCGTAGGAAACACTGGGCATGGCTGCTGACAAGAAAATTCTTTCCATCACTTTGATAGGGCAGCTCACCAGCTAGAAGGTAACAAAGCAGGCAGCGTGTGCTACTGAGGATTAACTCAAGAGCTGATCATTTTACCATGGACTCCCATCATCAAGTCTGAAAATTTGATCTCCGGGTTATGTCCCAGCATGGCATTTGTCCCATCTCCGCAGGGCAAAGGCAGTCTGTCATTTCTGTTGCATTTCATGTCCCCCACTGCCCTGCTGGCATCTCTGTTACTGCCCTGGCCAGGCAGTTGACAACACAAGACCCAGCGCTGTATATTGCTATGTAGATCCATGCTACGCGTTGAGGTGTTTAACTCATTACTCTCAGCTAATATTAGGCTTTTAAAATACATAACAGTATTCCACCACCAGTATGACCTCCTTTTTATTTTCGTGTATGTCCTCTACCCGGGTATTACCAGTTACCAATATGCCTGTTATGTTGGTATCTCATTTAAGGCTAGTCGTTTCAGCCCACCGTCTTACCCCTTAGGCTTTTAGCATTCATGTAAAAGCATATATATCACTCCTCAGGTCCTCTTCTTGCTATCCCATTTAAATATTACTCTGCTTTCTGTTGCTTATTTGTTAGTTTCTATACTCTATTGCCTCTTGCTTGCACTCACGTAGATTTGGAGCAGTTCCATCAAGGTCAATGTATTTAAGATTGTAGGAGCTTCCACACTCTGCCTTTTAAATGCATTTATAAGACAGTGTTTGGAAGTGGAGGTTTATTATTCTCTCGTACCTTGAAGAGTGCTTAGAAATACTTGACTTAAGCTATTCCACCTCTTAACACTGAAGAAAAGGATTCTAAAAAGAGCAGAGTGGAAAAAAGAAAATGTATCCCGAACACTGTTGGAAAGGGCCTGGTCCTAAACGGTGCTGGGTATTCTCTGTTCTAGTTGAAATCAGACAGAACTGATGGATTTGGTAAGTTGTCTGAGAGTAATGACAGTCTAGAATTCTGCAAACAAGTTATTCCTTTGTTTTCTGTTTGCACACTCTAGCTTGCTTTTAATATCAATGGAAATGAAGAAATATTTTACTGTTTTTCTTATGTTGCTCTACTTTTTTCTCCTAAATGCATTCCTACCAATAGGAAAACTTGAAAGTCATCTGTAATGTGGATATTAGTGAGTCTCTGTTTCTCTATGCTCATTTTAACATCATCTCTGGAATTGAAAACCAAAATGCCAGGAATCACAGCAGCGATACCAGCAGCTACTACCAGCAATACCTTCCTTATGATGCCACCAGTAACACCTTATTCACATCCGATGCGGTAGATCTTCCCGCAGACTCCTGTGTAGGGTTGTGGCTGTCCTACTGCACTATTTGTTGGTGGTGACATTTATGCGGATAGCACTCAATTCGGCACAGTTGTGCTTACTGTTGCTTAGAGCCATGAACCCTTGGCCTGGACACTTCCTCGTAACCATGTCAGTAATTGGATGGGGTAAGATTTAAAGTCATATATATGGCAACTCTTACCAGAGTATCAGTACATAGTACATTCAGGGAGAGTTGTAAAGATAATAGACAAGTACAGAGCAATTATAATCAGTATCTCTCTGGTTTAGCGCAACATGATTTAATAAATAATCTCCTGTTACTGCTCACGCTACTGGTATAAGCTGAGCTTGTTTTCATTGTCCTGATATGGCACTGAAACCAATAGCTTGTTCACTAGCACAGCAACGTAGTTCTGTTGCGTGCAGGAGAAATTTTCACAGTAATCAAGGTATTCAACAATCTGTCAAGTAAGTAAAAAATCTTTTAGATATGGTGGCTGCATATATGGACTCAAATTCTTCATTTAGATATCTCTGAGATTCCTCATGACCTCAGCCAGAGCCTGGCATGCATCCAAAAGCAAGGACTGGCTGGCGTTGTTTGTTACGTATTATTTATTAATAAGCAAAGAGCACACTCTTAAGACAGTACAGCAGTTAGCAGCAACACTGCAAGCTGAAAGGGAACTTCTTAGAGGACTGAAGAATGCAGACAGATGCCTGCTAGGTAAAGTGAAAATCTCAGCCTCCTTCAGGAAACTCTTCAAATACAGCATACAGTGATACCTGCCTTTTCCACATTGTGTATTCAGCTTGTGTGGTGTATTGTTTCCAATGGCATCTACCAAGCAGTTTTAGATCCTGATTGTTTTATTATTATGCTTTGCATTTGGGTGGAGGTAGAGGCAATTCCTCTAAAACTTTCAGCATTTGGACTGCACGTGCAAGCCGGAAAATGCTGAGTGAAAGCTATCTGGCTACGCGTCACTGTGCTCCATGGCTATTTGCGTGACAGCACAGCATTAGGTTCTTCACTGTGTCCTGTCACTAGTTACACATGTCCAAAACAGCATGATTCTGACTCACTGCTTTTCAGACCTACTTCAAGAGCACAGCAAATACTTGGCAGTCTGGAAGATCGGTAGTAAGGCTGAAGGAGGGAGAGAATGGGAAAAGACTTTAAGAAGCTTGCTTATTTCCCAGACAAAAACTCGTGTGGGAGGTTCCTTCCCATGAGATGTGCCACTTAGCCTCTTCCAACAGGTAGGCAGGAGACATGGAAGACAGGAAGCAAAGTGAAGGCATCGAGGACGCAGCCCCGCACTGCCATGCTTCTTGGAGGGCAAAAGTTACCCTCTGCATCAAGCTGGTATGAAATGTAATGGTGCTCAGGGCAGAATTTTTCTCCAATTACTTTCCCACTGCTGACAAGAGGGTAGGATTGCATGGCTGCGATGAGGGAGTCAGTATCACACAGGAAAGAGTTTGTTCTATCACCATTGGCATTGTCTTTGGAAGCTGTGATGAAGCTCTTTAACAGCAAAAATCTGGACGTCATGGACATGAGCCGTCCTCAGAAAAATAATGCTCAGAACCCTCAGTCCTGCCTTTTCATTAGGCTATAGAAAACCCACTTAGCTTAGTGCAAGGCAGATGAAACAGAGCTCTTAAAATCTATGGATTTTAGGAGGCAAGAAGCTATTTGTGTGGAAGGGAGATAAGGTAGACCTATGCAACCGAACAATAAATTGCTAACATCTCTCCTATTAATCAGGAACCCCTGCTGCAGTAGTTGCAATAACACTTGGAGCTACTTACAGAGCAGGCAAAGCTTTAAAGTACTGGCAGGAAGAATTGTAAGTTCATGTACTATTACAATACTTGCTATCCCACACCTTTTGCGATGCCTTATTATTAATATAATTCTAGATTTATTGCTGGTATACTATTCTGTGTATCTAAGTACTTAAAACTCCTCACTCAAGCTAAATATTCACTATAAGGAATTTTCTCCTCGCTAAGGATTTAGGGTACTGGATCTACATGTGCCTTGAATCCTGCAAGATCCCCTGTGACTATAAATGGAAGCTGTAGATGCTCTTAGCCTAACTGAAATTCAAGACCTTCATTTAAGTGCATAACTGCATTTCAATACCTAAACTTAACCCTCCCATTTATTTAAAATCTTTCTGGCCAACATAACTATATTGCTATCTACCCTATGGTTTTGGTATCTGCATTTGAGTGCCCATGTACCAAAGCAGGCTGTCAGGCTTACAGCATACCTTGGTGATAGCGGATGATACAGAACAAAGGTAGACTTCTTTTGGAAATGTAAACACAAACCCCCTTCCCCATGGTGGCCATCTCATGATACTCATTTAAGGAGTGATGACTTCCAATTTGGGATTATCTGGCAATGGAAAAAAGAGGTAAAGATTATTGCAGGATAACCCTGTCCTCCTGAAGTTGCCCCTGTTTTTGTCTCAGCCTTCATTCATTAGGTCTCCCCTATTGCTCTTTAGCTCTGTTATAATACAGACTCTAAAGATAAACTTGCATATGGTGGCCAGATATCTATTTGGTTCGTTATACTGCACCTTATTATACTTTTCCATGCAGTTTGTTTGATAAATCATTTTGTGTTCCCCGGAGAAAGAGAAGCATGATTGAAAGCCCTCAGTTCTCAAGGAACGGTTGCCTTTCAGAGGCACGACCTCAGAGTTAACATGACCTAGAAAGCCCTATGAGGTCTTTCAGGATGAAAAGTGGAATATCGTTTTGTTTTGGTATTCTGTATAGTGTGTCTAACAAATTTTTTGAAATGGCCTGTCTTTATATTAAAAGTTGCTGGCTTGCAGCACTGGATCAAGATTGGAATTTCAGTGTGCACAAGCCTATGTTGTGGTCATTCCTTTTGCCAGTAGCACTCATACTCCTGTTTAACATCAGCATCTTCATCAAGATCACAGTGATATGGAAGAAGAACAAGAATTTAACAAGGTGAGATGGCATAGGACTCCTCAGATCTTTCAGCAAATGCATTCCCCACTCTCTTGTCACCAGCTCAGACTTTCTTGCCACGAACTCAGATTTTTGACAAAATCTTTTGCTTTACAGAAATGTATGCTTAAAGCAGTCAGAAAATGAATTCTATTGTTGTGATGGCTCAGACTTTGTGCAAGTGCACATCAATGAACACATTTCAGGCTTTTGCCCCCTTTTTTTTTGGTTGCAGTGACACTCGACTTGAACGAAGTTTATCCTTGATTTAAATCAACAAAGGTGAAAGCTGAGCTGGGTCCAGCCAAATAAGCATTATGAATTTCTCAGCACACCCAAATGTCAGGCCAGTTCCCTAGCAGCTTTGAAGCAGATTCACTTGCCCAATTTTACATCAACACTCCCTAGATTGTCACAGGCTGCATGTCACAGAAGTTGCTCTATTTATGCTCTTCTCATTTTTCAGGCCCGTTGAACAGGTTTACCTAGCTGATGCACCGTAACTCTCCTCTCCCTTTCATAAGAACAATTTCAATTTAATTAGAAACCAAAAAGTAAATCAACAAACAGCACAGTTCTTGTTGGCTCTGGGTCCAAATTCTACTTACTACTTCTGTAATGTGGTAGCTTGGTCTTTACAGAAGAAAATCTATATCTTACAATGGTCTTTTACATCTCCCAGCTAAATTATAAATGGTAATTAGACAAAAACATGAACAAAACAGAACATGAGAACATGGAAAAAAAAGTTAGATGTTTGAAGAAACAGGCTAGGAAATAAATTAATTATAAGTATGTAGAATCACAGAATCATTAAGGTTAGAAAAGACCTCCAAGATCTTCAGTTACAACTGTCAGCCCAACACCACCATGCCTACTAAACCATGTCCCGAAGTGTCATGTCCACACATTTTTTTAACACCTCCAGGGTTGGTGACTCCACCGCTCTGGGCAGCCTGATCCAATGCTTGACCACTCTTCCAGTAAAGAATTTTTTCCCCAATATCCAATCCAAGCCTCCCCTGATGCAACTTGAGGCCGTTTCCTTTCATCCTATCAACATAGGACCTATTAACATCACCCCCAGCATTAGCCTGTGGTAGGAAGCATGTTCACTTTTGGAAGCGGACTGGTGTCACCAGAGTAGCAGCTGGAGCACTTCAGTTAGCACCCTGCTCTGAATTGAATTTGGGCTGCACCTTTCTCTCCCTCTCTCTGTCCTCTGGCTTTATGGGGAGCTTGGAGAAGGGGCCCCTTGGCCTAGACGTTAAGAATTTGGTTTCTGAACTTAGACTATAAGAAAATATAAACCCTGCCCCTTCTCTGCCCACCTTTTATTAATATATTCAGTACAGAAAGGTTGAAAGCAATGCCAAAGGGAGAGGGGAGAAGAGTTTCTGGCTGTTGAAGTGAGGAGTGAGGGAAGAGGAGAGTACCATGATGGAAGGAAGCATATGGTGGCTTGAGCACAACCGGTGCGTGAAGTGCAAGCAGCTCTTCCCACTTTGTGACCCTGAGCAAAGGGGTAAGGCCCACTGTAGTGGGTTCTTGCCTCAGGAATGGGAGTAGTTATACTGACTCATCCCATTCTCCCCTGTGTGAGAAAAAAGCCTGAGAAATTTAGACAGGTAATTTTTAAAAATCTTACTTCTTTATCCTGTTCTCCAAACAAATATGTTTGCAAGTTTTACCATCTCCAGTTTTAGTAAAATAGGAACACCATGTTGAATTTTAAATAATCTGGTATAAGAAGAGCG